CGACTCCCACCACTCCTTTGGCCTTGTCATCATCTCATGGCCTGGATGCTGTTTTTCACCTGTTGCCTCATTGTAGAAAAACATACACTGGAGTTTAGGGTTGCTCTTTGTTGTCATGGCACATCACATAGTTTGCACTGTTGTTAAAATGACTCATGGCCAAGAGGCCGTGGGGTTGTAATTGGGTGATGTTAGGAAGGAAGGATACAGGTGGTGCAGAACTAATTAGGATGCCAAGGTCTTAGGATTGGGGAAGGTGGGTGAACAGCTCACACCTGGAAGAGAAAACTGGTGCTCCCGGTTGAAACCAGTGAGATTACTAGGACATGCATTCATTTGAAGCTTTATATTCAATGTGAGCATCTCTGCCCACTTTAGCTTCTCAGCAGAAACTCCCTCTTTGACCGTTTCGCCTATGGAATTTTTGATAGATGACTTCCGGCAAGCTGCTCTGCCTTTGTGAGCCTCTGTTCTTGTGGCATGAATCCCTACTCCCTCGTGTGGGTGGTTGGGGAGGAATTCCTGAGACCCTGCATGTGGAGGTATAGAGCCAGTGCCCAGTAAGCGTTAGCAGTCTTTCCTCTTCCCTTTGTACCCGGTACCCCCTCTTCTCACCATCGGGTGCCCTGAGCACTTTATCTGTGCTTTTAGTATAGCATCCAGCTCTGGCCCAGCACTTAGCCAGTCTTCAGCACACGTTTGTTGACTGAAGAGCTGGAAGAAGGCAGGAAGGCAGACAGAGAGCAAGTAATAAGCAGCAGGCAAGTAATAAAATAAGTTGGAGAGTTTCCCCATCTTTGGAAATGAGCTACTGGCATGCTTTAGGGAAGAGAATTGAGGACACGAATGATTTTGTATATAAAATATGGCTCTAGGTGGGGGTTAGGGTGGGGACTTGAGAAGCCTTTCTAGTCAGTAGTTCCCCCTTACTGACCATCTGTCAGATTTCCAGTGAACTATTTCAGTTATTTTCCTCCTGAGATGACAGTGTGGGTTTGGAAGAGAGGGAGTGTGGATGCAGTGGCACCTGTTCCTGCCAGAGGGTCGAGTTTAAGGGAGGCTTAAGTTGAGAAAGTCTAAGTTGAGAAAGAACAAAGGGAAGAAAGACAGGAGAAAACGAGTTTCATTAGGAGTGAGGGACCCAGTAGGCAGGTTAAGGATTGTCACGGCCGTAATTATACACCCATGATATACCTGCTACTACAGAGCACTGAACTGGTTGCTGAGACGGTAAAGTAGAAGGCATGGTTCTTGCCCTCCAGAGGTTTCCATCTAAGGGATGGAATTGGGAAGAAGACTAAAAAATATGAAACACTATCTGTTCAGCACTGGGGAACAAGTTTTAAGCTATATCTCAAGAGATAAACATTATTATTCTCTGAGGAAACTAAAGTTCAGAGAGGTTAAGTAATTTTCTCCAGGTCACTCAGTAAACAAGTTGGACTGGGAGAAGAACCCGGGTCGGTCTGTGCTAATAACATAGTGCTGCTCACAGGAGAGTGAGCAAGGGCACTGGGGCAAGCATGTGAAAAGGAAAATTAACTTTACAAGGGATCCCAGGGTCAGTGCCACATGAGTGATACATGATGACTGTTGCACATGCTTAGGAAAAAAGAGATGTGTTGAGGCCTCACCTAGAGGGGGAACTCTGCAAAGGAAGCAGGCCCTCAACTAGACACTGAAGGTAGAATGTGAATCCGACAAGAGAAGAATGGAGGGAGAGGCTTTCCAGGTGGAAGGAGGCATAGTGTGTGCAAAGGTGGGAGGTAGGAAAAGTCTCATCCTCTTGGTTTGTGCTATGCAGGGTAGAGTACTGGAGAGGGCACAGCCTGCTCCAAACTTACTAACAGTGCAGTCTTAGGGCAGTCATTTAATCTCCCTGAGCCTCAGTTTTCCTATCTGTACAATGGCTGTGAGAGTAGCCACTTTACAAGGTTGTTGAAGACTTGAGACAATGTATGGAAAGCATCTGGTTTCTCAGAATCACCAGTCTAAGTTAAACCTTAATCTAAATCATGTGCCCTCTGTCACAGAATCCTTTTTGCCTTCTTTCTTGCAACTGAGTCAATTATACATCTGCCTGCTTATTTATTCAATGTCTGTTTTGCGAATGTAAGTTCCATGATAACATGGATAATATCTGTTTTCAATACCATCTCTTTAGTGTCTAGAACAGTAGGCACTCAATAAATCTTTGTTAAATGAGTGAATACATAAATGTCTGAATGAGTAAATGAAAAAACAATACCTATTTCTGCGGCACGACTCTAAGAATCTCAGGGAACATATGTCTTTTCTCTGGTGACGGGGCAGGTTGTTAAGGTAGGAAAAGCGTTCAGAGAATGCAGTTAGAGAACCTGAGGGCCTCCATGGGTCACTAGGGAGAGCACCAGGTCTTCTGTCTCCCTCCTAGTGCTGCACGTAACATCTGAGCAGGAAGGAAATTACACACGTTTCCAGTTCAGCTGGTTCCAGGGTTTCCCAACCCAGAGCTTTGTCTTGCTTAAATCTGATGTGCTACTTCACTGGTGTGAACTGTGACCTGTGACCTGTCTACTGGACAATGACTTTGCGTGATCCCCATGCTGCCCGGGCGTCTGAGTGGGCGTCTAGGCTTTCCAATAATCAAGTCTTTTAATCCAACACAACACAATAGCCCTTTATGCCGAGCTGGAGAGGAGGACTGGGGACAAACAGATGCATTAGTAACTGCTAGGCATTTGATACATTCTAGGAGTTCCATGACAGAGGTTAGGTCAGGGACCTGAAGGGTACAGAGGAGGCTATACGACCCTAGGGTGAAGCAGTGTACACACAGCTGGATAACATTTATAGCTTTCAAAACATGATTACGTATACCATCTCGTCTCAGTCTCCCTGCAGCCATGGCAAATGGGGAAGTATGGCTAACGTCTGCATTATTTGCTCCTAAAATATAGGAAAACCGAGGAAACTGGGGTTCAGGATATAGATCTGGTTTCATGGCAGATATCAACTCAGTGCCCAGACCTCATTATCATCAGTCGAAGGATCTTTCTTCTGGACTTGGCTGTCACTCGCTGGCCTTTATACTGGTCAACAGTGTGAGTGTACCTGCAATGTCACAATCCCCCACCTTCTGTAATGTATTTCCAATGCACTTGTGTGATAAAACATCAGAATCTAATAGGATTGGGGTTGGCCAAGCTAAGGGTCACTGGGCCACAGTGGCCATTGTATGATTTTGGAAGATTGTACTGAAGCATTGTCACACCCACTTGTTTTATCTGTGGCTGTTTTTCGCCCGACAAAGGCAGTGAGTAGTTGCAACAGAAGCTGTATGCCTCACAAAGTCTTATTAACTATTTGGTCCTTTAGAGAAAAAGTTTGCCATCTCCTAGAATAAATGAATGAAATGGAAGTAAATGAGAAAAAAGTAGATTTGTTTGTTCATAATAGGCAGTGGGTCATAACTGAATGGAGAATGAGAACCAGCCTCAGATTCATGCCTCAGTCATTTTGCTGGGTGACCCTGAGTAAGTCATTTATTCTCTCTGGGTCTGTTTCTGCATTCAGTACCTTATAGAGGTGCTGTATGATTTCCATGATGTGAGCCATATGTATGATTAGGTTTGGCCCTATGGGACAGAAAACAAAATTAAAGTGTCATGCACAGGACAGCAGTTCCTATCTTACACATGGAAGTGGGCAGCAGGTGTTGGTCTGGGGCTGCATGGTGTTAGGAACCCATGTCCTTGCACCCTGGGTCTTTGCTGTGTATGGCTTTCATTCCTGAAATCCTCTCATGGCCCAAGATGGCTGCTGGAGCTCCAGCCATGGTGCTATTGTCGTTATTACTACTACTTGTATGATAATAAGAGGAAACAAACCAACAGTCAAGTATAAAAAGCCAAGCAACAGAGACATCTATAAAGACCAGGCAGCAAACCCACATTAATTCAAGTCTAGCCAAGATGAGAACTCCTGCCATGGTTCATGAGGCAACCAACATATTTCATTTATTCTATTCCTGGGGTACACTGAGGAAGATCTGGCAGGCATGCTCTTACACGTATTCAGCATCTAACACTTTACAAAGTATTTCCATATCTATTATGTCATTCTGAAAAAATAAGGTGAATTATTCCTATTGTACATTATGATTCACACAAGTCCATGTAACCAGATCCCAGGACCTCCCATGTTCCCAAGTCCACGGTTCAATCTTTAGATATTTGTTGGAAAGGAAGGTGAACAATTATGGTATAGAAGAAAGAAAACAACCCTGTAGGGGAGCAAAACTTGCCACCACAAAATGTCTCTTTGGCATGTGGATTATTTCGAGCTCAAAACAATCAAGGACCAAAACACTTAAGAAACTTTGGCCTCCCCTTTAGCTGCCTAAGGAATGTAGGCTGAGGACCTACTCCAGGAACGGAGCCATCATCATAGATAACTACAGCATGAACTAGGTGTGGTAGACCGGGAGGAACGCAGCAAAATCTGTTTGTTTCTCATTTTTTAATTCCTCTCTGTATCCCACTGTCTCTCCATGACCCAGCAAACATTTGTTTACCAAAAACTGCTTTTCCATCTCCATGTAAATTGCCTTCCTCCCCTTTGAAGACCCACTAACCTCAACAACATTTTTCGTCTTTAGTTGAATGTGGTATCTAAGGTGAGGATTTTGGCCATTTTGGAAGTTACTTAGCTTTTTCTGGGTCTCTCCTAAGTATACATGTTATTAAACTTTTGTTTGATTTTCTCCTGTTAATCTGTTCATGATTTAATTTGTAAATGGGCCAGAAGAACCTAGAGGGGAAGAGGAAAATTTCTTTCCCAAACCAGGACCCCTAAGAGATGTAACCAATCATGAGGCCTCAGCCTCACTAAGCCAGTATCCTCACCTGTAAGACAAATAAGAGCATGTATTTGGGGTTGTTATGGGGAGAGCAGAGTGACTATCACACATGTGGCACACAGTCCACCTCAGTGAAACCACAGTTATTACCTAGGCTTACCTCTCAGAACCGGTGTGTCCTTGGAAAATCACTTCCTTTCACTGGGCCTCTGTCACCTTTTCTAGGAAAATAAAGGGTTTGGACTTGTTAAACTATCTTCCAAATCTGATTCCCATCAGGCTGGAAGAGTATCTTTTTAATAGATACTGCTCAGGTTGGAATCTTCCCTCCTGTTACTAGCTTTGTGTCTCAGAACAAGCTAAAAACCTTTCTGACTCTCCGCATTTGTAGAATAGGGACAAACAGTACTTAGCTTAATGGCAAGGTCTAAGGATTGTGAAAATTAAATGAGGCAGGTCCAGGACCCACCAGATTTTAACTTCCTCAAAGGCAGGGACTCATCTGTTTTGTAGATTTACAAACTGTGACATGACTTGAGGGTTGGTCACAAAATCAGACGAGTAAATTTAAGTAAAGGAACATGACCTGACACACAGTAAGCATTCAATAAATATTATTATTAGTTAACATTCGTCTGGTCTGTCAGAGTCCTGGTGTTTGGTGCATGGTTGAGAAGGGGTTACAGGATACACCTTTGACACACACCCACCAGCGACTGCCGAGAGCTTGCGTGGGCGAGTTCTGCAAGAGTCCACAGAGCAGGAAACTCCAGGCCTGAGACGAGGGAGCCTTCTCTGGGCCTTTAAAACCCCAGGGAGGCGGGAAAAGCCGGGTCGAGGTAGAGGCGCGCGCCACCCGCCAGCCCAGCGCGCGCGGCAGAAGGCG